ATTGGATTGGTCATTGGCAAGTGACGATTGCAAAGTCTGCATGCGATACATGGCATACGACTAACATGCAGATCATGCTCATTCTGCACTGTGCATTATAATCCACTTGAATATACTGTATATATAAAAAAAAGGAATTGACGCCTTGAGCATATAAAGTGCCCTTTATGCTCAAGGAATCCCTGTGTAATTATTGCTTAGCAGGCCCCAGTTAACAAAAGGCCTCATTCACCCTGTGCTGTGTTGAGAAGCAGTAACATGTGAACCTTTGTCTGAACCGTGGCTCTCATAGCGGATCAAAGCATTGGATGTGTCATAAGGTGCAGAGACTCTCAGTGCTTTTTCAACAGATGCTGCTCTCATCCTCGCTGTAGTGCCGTTATTACTTTACTTTTAGCAAGAGGAGGTTATCTAGATTTAAGAGAGACATTCATTTATTTCTGTCTCCCACGCAGATCCTTAAAATACAAAAAGGTGGAACATTTTTTAAGTTAATGCGGCATCCTGCTGAGAGAAGTAAAATTGTTTCCAAAATGCTACTAATCCATTTAGGGAACAAATTACACATTCAGCAGTCAAATAATTAGGGGTTGCTTGTTTTTACAGGAATCCAGGCACTATCATGGTTTTTATAAATGCAGATATCAGATACTTGTAGAGCTGCAACTGTTGAATGGTTTATCAATTAGTGGATTGTCAAAAGAATAATAACCAGCGTTTCTGATCATTTAATTATTGTTTTGCTTTTTTAATGAGAAAATGGTACAGTAGAACACTGTATTGAGTCCCTCAAATATGAAGTATTCATGCTTTTCTATGCGTTATATTCTATTGACTTAATATTGTTAGCTTTTTGAAAGAACAAAGACATTTAAGGACATCCTTGGTCTTAAAAAAATCGGGATGCACATTCTTCTGACATTTTCTGAACAAATGATGTATTGATTGATCTTGAAAGGAATTAATTGAGCGGTACAAGTTATTGTTAGTTGCAGGCCTTAATATTTGCAACTCATACAATCTTTTGTATTACAGGCCAGCAACAAGACGCCTGCTACACTGGATCCTCCTTTAACAGAGCCTGGAGTCGTTACACAGCTACTCAGAGCCAGAGGCAGCTGTTCCACACAAGCTGACACCAAACACAGTGTGAAACAACAGTGCAGGGGGAAAAAAGGCCTTCACACATGCATGACAACCAACACGGAAATGCCTTGTGTAAGCAGTCAACAGAGTAGAAGCTCCATCTCAGCCAGCCTCCCCCTTACCCTCCGATATAAAACAACTAATGTCAGCAATTGATGTGGTCTCCCGCTTCAAGGACCTCAGAGCCCAGCTTTCGGAGTCGTTTCCGAGAGAGGTCTGAAGCATATGGCAGAAGCACTAAAACAGGAGGCTTACTGACTGAAGAGAAAATGAGAATTGCAAAGTCCCATCGCATCTCAATTGAATTTCCCTCAAGCTAAAAAAAAAGAGAGAAAAAGAGCTCAAAGAATGATGTGCTGGAGTACTGGAGGCAGTTTCACTCCAGACAAATGTGCTGAAAGGAGTATATGAAAAGTTGGGACTGTTGAAATATCCAGGAAGTATCCTGCTCATATTCAAGGCTGGGCCTCCTGTGTCAGACTGGCCTCTACTAACCTGTCATTTCGGTTCAGTCTGACGTCCCCCCTTCCCCCCCTCATCTGTTTTCAAAACCCTCAGATCACACCTGTGAACTATTTCAGCACATCAGAGAGCTCACATATCCCCTCGTCTTCATCTGAGAGCTACACACACACCTTGGCTTAAACAAAACTCACATTCTATCTCCCTCCAAAGCCTCTGCTTTTTCTACTAAATGCTTCAACAAATCAATAGCACAAAGAATCCCTGAACACTGGATTTCTCTTTCCTTTTCAGATAGGAAGCTTTGAATAATACAAAACCGATACTTGTAAAGACAGCTTATCCATTTTCATAATCCTGCGGAGGAACCGCCTTCAAAACCACAAGTCATGAGGTGATGTATAGGGTCAGCAAACAGATCAAAACAGCTGCTGAGTGACAGTGAGAAACAAGAGGTAAACATTCACAATGGTACAAGGATTTGAGTGATGACTGCTCTTTCCTGTGAGCCATTTAACTATCATCCCTCCGCAGGTTTTCCCTCTCTCCGTTGTGGACAGTGAAGAGCTAAACACACCACCCTGCTTGTCATAACAGTCAGGAAGAGAGACCCTCCTCGCTTCCCCTGACTCTAACACGGGCTGCGGCCCCCCCAAAGGCCCCCAGGGTTCTTCCTGCAATTCTAATCAAAGTTTAAAAAGCTGCAACCTTGGAGTCTAAGCCTGGGTCGCGGCCTGTGAGGAAGATATCAATCAAGCGGGTCCAAACAAGCGTGAGAGGGAAGCGGGAGGGAGACGGAGAGTTGAGAGCAGTTTCTGGGAAAGCCTTTCCTTCTGTCCTCAGAGGAGGAACTTCCTCTAAAACAAGGGCAGGGTGTACTCCCCATACCTGGAAACCATGGTAATTCAAAGTTGCATTAACTCATAATGGCCGTGTGGATGGATAAAACATTCATCTGCCTGTGATGCTGCAGTGTCTGTCAACACTATCATCATCATCAGCCTCTGAGTCATACTCTGTCCGTTTTTCCAGGTGTGAATGAATGAATGAGTCCTCTCTGGAATATAACGGCTGACCTGCAAGAGGCAAATTAAGTTGCCTTCCTGCCTGGTGCCCAGCTCTGCAGCCGTCTAATCCTCTTGCAGGCCTGCCCTACAAATGGGTTGATGGCACATGTGTGCGGACGCAGATAGAGACAAATGCACACATGCAGGCAAGAGCACACCGCACAACCAATATCTAGCCAGGGAAGAGAGCAGGCGGGCAGGCAGGGTTTGCGGTGTGTGAATATTAGCTTTTCCACAGCTGGGGGCTGCTGGACCTGCTCCGTTCATCCGACATCCATCAAGGTGTCAGTTTGGGTTATGAGAGAGGGCTCCCAGGGTGATCACACCGCCGCCTGATGGCCTTCTGTCTGGGCTGAGAGGACCAAAGGCAAACACCGAAAAAATGGAACAAAAACACGAACATGGACACAACCGTGACTATCAGCTTCTAAACATTCCTGAAAGTCTCCACCGTGTTAAAACACATAATTCCTACTAATGTGAAATCAAGTTAAGCAAACAAATGTCTACTGTAAAGTGTTTTTCCTCAACAAGCTCAACTCTTTACCATCAAAGGAAGCAGTTCATCATATAGATTTAAGTTATTAGCTGCCCTGTAGCCCAGGGTGAGTAATCACCATAATAGCCGGTCTAATTCTACTCTGTGCCTGGCCCCCCCGAACCCATTTTCCATAGGAGACTTTGGTCATTTCCATGACTGCTCTACATAACAGGCCTCTCCAACACTGAGGAGGACAGGCAAGGTAATTAATTCCCCCTGCCGCCTCCTTCTCTTCCCTTCTCCTCCTCTGCGTGGTGAGGGGGGGAAGCCGGGGAATGTAATTTACACTAATTACCTTTTTGCATAGGAGTCTCATTTCAACTTTCCTTTTCATGTTGAAACGCCTGTCGTCTCGAGCCATGCCTGTAGGCTTCAACACCCATGATGAAAAATCACCACGATGTTTCTATAGTGACATGACATGACTGCAGTGAGGAGTCTGTAACAAACTCATAATACTGTATCTTCTTCTATAGCAGCATATTTAATAACCTCAACATTCTATCTATATATTAGAGCATACTTCTGTGTGTGATATTTTTTATACCACTCTAAAATGTGTAATATCACTTTTCAATAGTTCTTTTTTCTCAATAGTAGTTTTTAATAGAAAAGAAGGGCTCCCCTTTTACACCAGCAGAGGGACTACAGAGTAGACGAGAAGATATCAAACATTGGGTTGCTCTAAAATAAATATTAGAAATATAAGGGGTCATCATTTGTTTTGTTTGCATAAGCTTGTGATCCGCATGTAAGCCATCTTGATAAATACTGTTACAGGTCATCTGTCTTATTGTAGGCTATGTCAGAAAAGCATCTCTACGGGTTACAGTAGGTATATTTCTGAATGAAACATTACTACAGCGGAATTAAAGCAACATAACGTAACATCGCAATGTTATTATACTAAAAGCCGTCTTTGATAATACAGTTAATTATATTAGTGTAATTTGGGAAGTAGCATTTATCCTATCCACTGTGCACAAGATCATGCACGGAATATAGTGGCAATGTTTAACATGTATAACCAACCTTGCAACGAAGTAAACACATTGTTTGTGTGTGTTAGACTCTCTTAGAATAGAAGAAACACAAAACCTGTATGACAGCAAACAATTTAGGGAAGCATGCAGGGTAGCATTTTTTCAATTGGATTAGTCACAGCTGCTGTAGCGATAGCGAATACACGCTTCTATTTAAGCTTGCCTCGTTTTTCCCGGAATAAAAAATAAAAAATAAATGTTTAATTCACAGATGCAATTAACGATCTAAAGTCAGTCTGTGTTAATAATGGTCTGGAATAATCGGAGATAGGAGAATGACATACTGTAGGCGAGACTCGCACTGATCGACCTTTAATTCTTTCTTCAGCAGATCTTTAATTTTAACCACGAACAAACATGATTGACAAAACAACATTTACAGCCTGTTCACTGCTTTATGTTAAAAACATATTTGTTTTTGGAGCATTTACTGCTTTATCAACGCTATTTTAACGGACACAGCTCAGTCTGGCAGCTCAATCTGAGTATTTACTCGTATTCTTTGACTAAGATTATCAGCAGTAATGCACCGATCTGCAGGCAACATGACAGCCTAGTTATGGAAGGTTTAGATAACATAATGTAAATATAGATGTAATGTTTTTACAGGAAGAGGACAGGGTGCATCCCATCTCTCTCTCCGTATCAGCCGCAATTGTATCACAATTGATACAGTAGGCTCAGTGACAGAGCTCCGCACAGGGGGGGGGGGGGGACAGCACATTTTCAAAAGCATCTTACCTTCGTATACAGGGGCCATCGGTGCAAGGATTTCTGTTATTCATGGCAGAACAATAAAGCGAGATTTCTGTTCAAAACTCAATGAAAATCTGCCATCTTGAAACAGTGATGAGAGAGTCGCCGCGGTCTCCTGCATTACTGGCCGAGTTCATTAGTGAGGAAAATGCTCATAATTCATATCCAGGCGTTTCCAAAAGGTACGGTCCGACGCGAGGGGAGCGACAGAGGACAGGCGGTGCAATGGAGAGCCGGCTGCGGTGTGTGTGTGGAGGCTCGGAGGATGAGCCGCGGACGGTGACAGCTTTACTTCAGCTATTGTGCGACATGTCTGTGGAGTGAGGAGTCTCTGCAAAAGTTGCAGTGGTCAGAGCGCAGCGAGTTTGGTGTACAGTCAGGTAGTCGAGTGTCGAGAGAGTCGATGGAGGCAACGAGCAGACGCATCAGTCTGGACTCCAAAACAAATAGGATAATAGTAATTATCATTATCATAATCATTATTTACAGAGAGATGGCATCACACAAATAGGAATAATGAGCTACAATGTGTAGCCTTTTATAAAGGGAAAAAAGGTTTCGGAAGATCGACCTTAACAGATTTTAATACGGAGGCAGTTAAGGATGATTTGCAAAAGGCAAATTATATACCAACAAAATAATAATAAAAATACCTACAATTAAACTAAAATAAGTTTTGAAAATATCAACAACATAAAAAAAAAAAAAGGAAATGCATAGTGTAGCCTACTACTACTACTATTTATAAAGTAGTTAAGCTAGTGAGTAGTAGTATCAGTCATTTCGTTTTTGTACGTGGTAAGATTTTCTTATTCTGCCCCTTTTTATTAAATATTATTGCAAATATTTTGAGTTGGACGTGTACAAACTGTAATAAAATGCTTATTACTACAGACAGCACTACAAACACTACTACTAGGCCTACTATTAAGTATTATTATTATTATTATTATTATTATTATTATTATTATTATTATTCATAAACATGTATATAAATAATACAAATAACATTCAACTTTATTTAAAAAGCATAATGTATAGCCTACAATAGAAAACAAAGCTTTTAACATAAAAGCAGATAATCATAACATTTGAAAATAAAACATTGAAATCAAAAACCAGGATCGCGTGATCACACCACTTACTGTTCCGTGCTGTAATTATTATTTGGACATTTAACAGCTGTCCATGTTATTCCCAGCCGTGCAAAGTACATCCTTGTTGGATGATTCTGCGGCTGTTTGCTCATGCCTGCGAGGCTGAAGCGCTCCTACAGTAGGCTGTATGACGACATGAGGTCTGCACAGATGAACTGGAGCGGAATCGGATTACATAGGCTCACACAAATGTGAGTAATCTGTCATTTACCAGCGACCCTAAAATGCACTCACAGAAAATATGTGCACCAAACCTCTAAATTAAACATGTCCATTTAGACATGTGGGCGGCTGTTAATATGGCAGTGCATTAGAGCAGCAGAGCTAGTTCACCCTATAGCCTACTAAAGTGCACTAAACTGAAAAAAAAATTGAAAGCTATATGGGAGTGATCTGATGTCGCCCTTGTAGGATAAAATAATCACATGTTTTCATCATAAAGTCACATTGTCTCTGTGAAAAAGCAATCGGTAATGCTCTATCTTCAGCACATACTGCATATTCTAAGCCATGCAGCTTTACAACGAGTTCTGCTATTACTCATTTGGTTTAAGTATGTCACACACAGCCTGCACACGCACCATATACACAGTATGTATATATATATATACAGCTGCACTGCACATCTAAGTGGTGATGTAAATGCAGGACATAAACGGTGGTCTTACAGGCCCACAGGGTCTGCAGACCTGTGTTTGTTTGGCATTAAAAAACCCAAGTAATGCACGTCTCCCATCAGCAGTGCATTGTTTATTCATGTGACTTCCTTAACAAAAGCCACTATGTTCCTAAAGAGATTTACTGTGTACTATGCTGTGGTGAACCGCTCAATAGTGAAAGTATGCGGAAAATGCAAGACATAATATTTAAAAAATTTAGCAGAATACTAAATATTTAGAATACCCTGAATACAGTATAATACACAACAATATGTTTGGATCCTCATATTCCTATACAGTCTTACAGTGTACTCTTTATTTCCTTCTAAATATTTTACAGGTTTATTATCATGAGTTTTATATGTTTGCCACACATTTTTCGTAGCTTCACTGAGGCCTAAGGATAAACCAACTAACAGGTTGTGCGGCACCTTAGTGGGGATTTTGGTAATAAGAAAAATACTTCTGCTTCTTAATTGCTGTTTGCAGCAGGGAAAGAGCAGGTGCCAGTCTCTTATTCAAGGGAGTTTGTGTGGCATAAAGTGTGGTGCTCAAACAATACAGGGCCCCCCTCAGGACAAATGGCCAGTTGGAAAACCCTGAAATAGAGAAATTATACAAACTATTCTCCTGTTTCCTGCAAATCTGATGAGAAACATTTTATTTAATGTTTGTACATGAATGACCAAATACATGTTGTAGTTAATGTGGATCCCTTAGGCTTTTTAGACCAATTATAAAACAGGCGCAATGGAGCAGTGAGGCGTATCCTTCACCTATTCTCAAATGTACCTACAAAACTGAGCATCCATTGTTTTAAAGAACTATGATTTTTTTTGTTTATTTACCCTTCATTTGTATTCATATTCATTTACTAAAATAAAATAAACTGCCTGTATCTCACCAACAAAAGTGAACTCCAAAATGTTTCACTTAAGGAATAAAACTATGATCATGCAACCGTTTATTAATCCATTGTTTACATCCCACTTTGGCCAATCAGTGTATTTTCCAAAAAGTCAGAACAAAGCAATCATGCCCTGAAGTTTCATTACGCCCAGTCAGGGGTGTTGAAGACATTGTGCGTGACAGACCAACAGATGATGACCTGTTGAACAGACAGAAAGACAGACAGATGGGCCGGGGTAATTACGACGGATTAATGGATCTCCCTCCCCCCAAGTTCATCGTGTAGGACAAATGTGTCACAGGGTAGGACTACAAATCCCAGAGAGGGTCAATACCACACATGTTGGTGCATGTGGATATACAGTATCCTACTTAATTTAGAAAAAGGTTGAATAATAATTAATAAGGGATAAGTGGTTAAAAGGAAAAGATAGCTGAATGGTAATGAAATGTAAAGATTTTATAATAATTATAGGTTAATAAAAGTTACTATAGTGTTTATGTTTGAACGTTTTCATTCATATGTCTGTCTCACTGTCCATTCTGGTAAATGTATTTCACAACATCTACTTAGACTAAAGGATAACTGATTCGATTTTGGTGGTCAAAGGTTCACCTCACGAAACACATTTCGTCCATAACTCTAGAGTTCATATGCTGATTATGACATTTTCACGCAAAGGTCTAATATGATGCAATTATTGAAGTGATGACATTTGTTCACCTAAGGGTAAACTGAAAGCCGGCAATTCTTGTCTATAATATTTAGGAATAAAAACAAAGTTATGATGCTCCCGGCAGTGCAGGATGTTCAATTATTTTTAATAGGGCCCCGGGCCTGTAGGGCCACCACTAGAACTAACTGGTTCTTTAGTCATAGTTTACACATCATACCATGAGACTATCTCTTTCCTGTGCCCCTTGTTTGTACCATTGATGGTTTAATAACTGCACAATTTACTTTATACTTAAATAACAACTGTTATATTAGAGTAATTAAACATAAATCAATTTGATCAAATATAGCTTGATATACAATTGTGTACGGCATGTAAAATATCAAAGCCAGAGGGCTAACAGAATAAAACTGTATTTTTTGTTTGACTGCACCTGTACCTCTGAATGATTTTGGTTTACACATGTCATCCCAGTTCACCTGTTTGTTTACAGTCTCTGTTATATGATACCTTATTCTCTGGCTGACTATAAACTGTAATTTATTAAATATACACATCAGATAGAATTAAACCAACTGTAATTATACAGACTTACAGAGTGTATTTACTCACCACTGACTTCTGCTAAGTAGATGCTCCTGATTGTGTTGACAAAGGACGGACTGCAGCCTGCAGAGTTAGAGGATACACACGTTCTAAGTTTAAACAGAAGTTAAGTCTCGTTAGAGTGTGGTTGCGTCAAGGGTACACAAAAGAAAATGCCTGAACTAACAAATATTTAAGAATGACTATCACACAGCAGTTCCCTGTACTTGTGCGTCGTATACCACTCTTTAATTATCTCCTCTGCCTCATAATTGTTTAGGTCCATCTTATATCCAAAAGTGAGTTACGTAGGTGGTCCTTTATAAATAAATACCTCTTCCCATCTCTCATTATGCTCATTTAGGCTGCATGTGTACTCCTTTGAAAACTCACTTAAAGGGAAGTCAAGGAAAGCAAACATCTTGTGTTTTCCTTCTGCCCCCTCCTGTGTCAGTGGAAAACATGCTCAGTTGTTATTGACCGTATGACCTCTTTATAGTGCTGAAATAGCCTTTGTGCCGATTCAGATCCTTAGCTGCTACTCCACTGTTTAGTCCCGCTGGTCCAATTATTACCTCATACATGTTAGAATCAGGGGTGTTTCTTGGTACGCTGACATGGATGATATCATTGACTTTTAAATGGACATTTCCATGGGAAAATCACTTTCTCCAAGCTAGTTTGAGGGAAAAAGGAACATGCCTCGATAACAAGAATCCCTGTTTGGTTCATCGCCCAACCAATCTGCTTTCATGCGGGACATCAACAGATGACCAGCATGAGTAATTAAAGACTTTAAGAGATAATTACATTAGGTAGTAAAAGAGGCAGGAAATCTCTGAGCGGTTCAACAATCACAACAGAGACGGCCAGCTACCCAATCACACCTTTTTGAACATTAAAGCATGGAAACATGTCACAGTATAGAAGCACAAAATACAAATATGAACCTGACAATTAGCGTAATAGGGACCCTTTAAAAAGAAAAAGTAAATATAATTACATTTTAAAAAGTACATAGGCCTACCAGGCAGCCAAATGGGCTCTGTAGTGTTCACTTTAATATTAGATTATTATCATTGATACGGTAACATATAAGATGCATGTCAGATATTAATGTTGTTGTTGGCTGAAAGTTCGCTGTTTTTTGAATAGTTGTTTTGCAGTGGTCATGAACATGTTTTCATAAGCCTATGATACAAAACTTTATTACTTTGATGAATTTCCTCTCAATAACAATCAAGCATCATAATGAACTCAGTATATACCAGAATATTCATTACACCATAATAAACACCTGATAGATGAGGAAATAAACCACAGGAAATACAACAGCA